GTCTTGCCCATGCCTGCTGTGACCCACCAATGGTGTTTTTCTTTAAAAAGGAAAGAATTGGATGAACGGTTTTTTGCTCTGTGTAGTGACTGGTTTGTTTTCAGTAATGGGTTACTCATGTACAATGTGTAAATTATTGTAGCAATTTGGTGACATCGGTGTCACTAATGGCAATAGATGAATAAACGGAGATGGCTGTATTACCACCATAAGGGGTTTTTGTTGTCAACCAGAGAGTGAAGCTTTTCGTATTATACCTGGAATTTTTTTTTTTTAATATTTGTCTAAAGAACAAACATAACATGATGTCAGAAGCATTTAGAGTTGATTGAGCTGAGATGGATCAGTTAAAGCTGCCGAAGAAGTTGATGTTCAAAGGAAATTTTGCACAAAGCTTGAGAAGGTGGAGCCAAAGACTTGAGCTACATTGTATGGCTGAAAACTTCAAGCAGCTTTGTTTTTTCACATTGCCGGGGAAGAAGCCCCTGAGGTATTTAACGCCTTCCAGTTTGAGGAGGAACCAGATAAACAAATGCAACAAATTTCATTTAAATTTGGAGTTTATGTGCACCAAGAATGTTGCTTATGAGAGGTATACAGTTTTTATAAGAACTGAACAAGAAGAAGAAAATATAACACTTAAATTTAATATTATTAACCCAGACTTGCAAAGGTGAACAATTGAGAGAGCCTTTTGTCAAGGCCCACATGATAGAATTAGGTTAGAAACAGTATAAGAAAGGTTACTGAGAAAGCCTAATACAAGCACAACCATAATATAAACCTATATCAAATGATGACTAAGAACAGTCCTGAGAACAGAAGTGTTTTAGCGGCTTTTTTAAACTTCAAGAGACTGGACTCCAGGTGTAATTCAAGGGGCAGCTGATTCCCCTAGGAGATCAAGGGGGAACAGCCCTAAAATATAAGGTGACCATTTTGACAGGAGGAAAAATTAAATAACCTTGATAGGATGATTTAGCTGATACCCTGAACATTAATCAAGTTATTCAAATAAAAATGTATTGGGGGAGGGGCTGGAAGGTCAGCACCAACAATTTAAACTTATAACACTCCTAAAGACCCAGATCCACATTAATGATGCTACTCTGGGCCTTAATCATAGGACAGAGATTAAAGAAAGGAAGGCTGTCAACAAAATTCAACAATAGCCCAGTCAGGACACCACCAACGCATGAACTAGGCATGAAGTAAGATATAAATGAGTTCACCAGAAATTCAGGAGGTCAAAATTATGAGTTCTTGTAGTTTTACTGATGAATCACCTAAAGCATGCACATCAGAAGATGCCCGCAACTGATGGTCCTGAAAATTAAAAAGAAACACGAGAAAATGACAAAGAAGGATGATCAGCAAATTCTCTTACAAATTTAAGGCAGTGGGAATTTATCCATCTAGAAATCCCAGTAAGGCAGAGAGGGACGATTATTCCACATCATCCAAAAGTGAGGCAGAAGAATAAACTTCAATGTCATCATATAAATATGATAGATTCTCTGATTTCTTCTTTTTAAATGACTTGATGGCACATAATCAATCAACAACAGGGACTACAAAGTAAACAAGAGTGGATCTATGACCAAATCCTGAGGAACACTGACAGATAAATGGAAGAGCTGAGAGAAGGACTCTTCCACTTAACCAGAAATGTGGCAGGGGAAATATAAGACTGAAACCGAGAAAAAAACTTTGCCATTAGTGCCTGATGAACTCAAAGAAGAGAGTCAGATTTTGTGATCAATACTATAGTGGGTGCCAATCAGACCTCTGGTGGGGGATATCACAGAAAAACTTTGTCGTTGAACATCCACCTCTGTCATATGAGATATGTGGGGTACCCTTAATAATCCCCTTTGGGATGAGTGCCTAGAATAGGACAGAGTAGTTGAATTAGCAGGGTTTTTTTTTAATGGTGTCACCTTTGCCTATTTATTCTAAATTCTGAGATTTTAAGAATACTATGTTGGAAAGTGATACTTTACAACTCGTGAAAGTTCATGTTCTAAAATGCTGGCATTCAGACTTTATTTAAACAAAAAATAAGAGATAGATGTGCAATTGCAGGGATATCATCTGGAGAACCAACAGGAGAATTTAACCCCTTTTCCCTGAAGCCATTTTCTCCATCAATGTAGACTGTGAAGGTATCTCTTCCTAATCACTGAAAAGGAGTCAAATCTGATCAGGAGAATGTGTGGGCATGCGTGTGTGTTACTGAAGAAAAAAAAATCTTCATTGGCTACATTTCAGCAAATGAAAAAAAAAGTTGGGTGATCCAATTACCGATTGTCCCTATAGTATGCAATTTTTTAATAAGTATTTTCAAATCAGGCGCCACCTAATGCAGACTACACAACAAAAGGGCCTATGAAACACTAAGCTTGTAATTATTTGTTTCCTGACTACAATGTTCTGTAGCTTCCACCTACTCCTCAATCTTCCTGGGACTCCGAGTACGTGGCGGCAATCACTTTGGTGTTTTTTTCACAATTCCTTTACAATTGTTAAGCTCCTCCCTGTTCTTTCAGTTCAGATTGTACAATACAAAATCTAATAAAGCATATTGACAGACAGCTTTTAGGGAGTGTAAGAATATAATCCATGTAGCCAGATTGCTTGAGATAATAGATTCTTCATTTATTCTAGATATTGATCAGTGGAAATAGTTTCTGCTGCCTATTTATGTAACTAAAGTTATCCTGGGCAACCTCAATTAAAAAAAAAAAAAAGGAAAGGAAAGGCCCAAAATGCATCTTCACATAGATATATTTAATATGACAACCTATAATTTTAAGTTTTAGTGCATTATTGGTAGACCCAATCCCATGCATTTATTTTATTTCTTTTTAATCACTATATATCCTGATTGCCAACCACAGGTCTTGAAATGTGCATAAAAATGAACAGTACAATTTAGTTAATTATCTATCTATCTATCTATCTATCTATCTATCTATCTATCTATCTATCTGTCTGTCTGTCTGTCTGTCTGTCTGTCTGTCTGTCTGTCTACCTACCTACCTACCTACCTACCTACCTACCTATCTAAATGCAATCAGCTCCATTTGTATATACATCTAACCAGCAGCTATCCAATAAAAGTAGGATTTTTAAATCAGAAGATTTTAGACATCTAAGCTGGGAGAAGACAGAATGCTACCTTCTTGGAAGAGGATTAACATTGACTAGTACCATGCCAAAAATGGTTTCTGCATTTTATCATTCTCCATAAAAGTGATAAGTAACAGAAAACAACATGAGAAACAGCCACAACATCCTAAACCCGTCTTAAAACGTTAAAGTTAGGCACGCCCTGTTCTGAATAGCAGCATAACCATATTTAAATAAATACGTTAAATAAGCTCTGAAATATCATAGAAGTTCTAAAACAATAGAAAATACCCAGAGAAAAATGAAATACAGCTGAAAAAAGCTTTTGAAAAGTGGGAAAGTAGATGTTGGCACAGTTATTAGCATGAATGTTACAGATACGGGCAGAGATATACTAACAATGGCAGATCATCTTAGCTTACAGGGACCATATTTTCTTAGAAAAAAATAAAGAACAAACCTGAAAAGGGGGCAAATTTGGAAGAAGTTCATAAGGATAAAAAAAATTATTTATGTTTATATATTTGCTTTACAAAAGAAAATTCAAGAGCAAAACCAAGAAAATAAATAATTAAGTTAAATAAATCTAAAGGACAGGTTTTTGAAATAAAGGACTGTCCTTTATAATAAGGGACATATGGTCACTCTATCTTAGCTACAATTTGCAAAATGGGAAGTCACTGAAGAAAGTCACCCACTGGCACAGGGTCAGGTACCATCAATATGCTGATGATACTCAGTTTAATAGCTGAACCCTGGACTGAAGAGGGGATGTGGTGAAGGTACTACCCATCAAGCTGCTATCCCTGGGCCTGAAGGTTATGAGAGTTAGTATGGGAAAAATAGGCTCAGTCCTGCCAAGATGGAATGGGTGTGGGTTCAGAAACCAACTGAGAATGGTAATATTCCATCTTTAGTTCTGGATGGGGACATGCTCCCTGGACTGACCTAGTTTGTAGCTTGGGTCCCTCCTGGATTTACAATACCTTC